CAGACCAAGCTGTCATTCTATAGATGGACCAAGCAAAAGATAGCTGGGGGCAGCTCCATCGCAGGGTAACATCATAAACATTAATGGGAGGGGGGGGAGTGCTCCTATAAAGTAAACACAAAGAAAGAAACAGCTGTACTCTAAACAATGCCAAACATTCATTTAAAAAAGCAAAAAACTTACCGCACCAATTTTAACAGACTGCAAATTAATATAGGCATCAGGTGCAGGCTGCAGTGTGCTCCCACTCGTCAAACAATATCTCTCCAATTACCTGCATGAAACCGAGGTCCAAAAAAATCCAACTTTATTGTTGTAAATTCCATGCAGAGTTTAAAATACAAGGTATACACCACCATAGTATCTCTCCCACTCCAACGCCTCTCACGTGTTTCACCACCTGGGCTTAATCATAGAGATGAAGTTTCTTATTCTTCCATGTGGTGAAACGCATGAGAGGCGTTGGAGTGGGAGAGATACTATGGTGGTGTATACTTTGTATTTTTTAACTGTGCATGGAATTTACAACAATAAAGTTGGATTTTTATGGACCTCGGTTTTGTGCGGCTGATCGGAGAGATATGGATCAATTTAACCCATACAGTGCACCAATTGTTCTCCCTGCCAAGAGAACACCCAACGAAGAAACAGCCAGCAGGACTTTGGCAGCTGTGCCATTTTCATCTGTTCCTATGAAGTGATAAGTGCTAGTAACCTCCTAGCAGATTTTTTTTATGGTTTATACTAATGTTTTAAATCTGTTCTTAAACCACTTTAGCTTTCACACCTGTGACCCCCCTCCTATGGACCAGAGCAATTTTTAAATTTCTGATATAGCCCTGTTTATTCAGCAATCATTTTGTAATTACTTAAAAGAGAGCTAATGCCAAACTTTTTTTGTTGGCTTTAGTCCTCTTTCGGGTCAAAAGAGTTCATTTGGAATCTCGAGAAATTGCAGCCCGGTTTAGGGAATTCTACCAATCGTTATATAACTCGTCCCCAGAGCCCGTGGACCAGGCTATGGCTGATAAGTCCAGAGCAATTCACACCTATCTGGAAAAGTCAGGTATGCCACGCCTCACACAGGAGGCTCGCCTCTCGCTGACAGGTCCTCTGGAGGAGGTTGAGCTCCATAAAGCACTAACAGAGTCGAAGCCCAATAAAGCGCCGGGACCGGACAGTTTCACGCTTTTCTATTACAAACACTTTGCCTCCCTTCTTACGCAGCCCTTCCTCAAGGCCTTTAACTCGATTCTGGACGCTCACGCGCTTCCGGTTGATGCACTACGAGCAGCCATTACTGTTAAACCAAAAGTTGGTAAGGACCCCACCCAATGTGCTAACTACCGACCGATTTCCTTGCTAAATGTGGATCTAAAATTATTTACGAAGATCCTGAATGCCATTCACTTAGCTAGATCACTCGACATCGCCACTATTCTCCTATCAACGGATGCCGAAAAGGCGTTCGATAGGGTAGATTGGGCGTTTCTGAAAACAACACTGATCTACATAGGGGTGGGGGCCGAGTTTTCCGCGTGGATAGATGGACTGTACTCCCGTCCAACAGCCCATGTACGAGTAAATGGAGTGGCATCTGCTGACTTTTCCCTATTCAACGGCACGCGCCAGGGGTGCCCGCTATCCCCCCTGCTATGTGTACTGACCCTGGAGCCCCTACTATGCCATATCCGAAACAACCCAAATTTTCCTGGACTTAGGGTGGGAGGGTCGGTCCTTAAGGTGGCGGGGTACGCGGATGACATACTTTTTTTTGTGACGAGCCCAGCAACATCCCTACCGAACCTTCTTGCGGAATTAGCACACTACCACTCCCTGTCCAATTTCAAGGTAAATTTGCAGAAGTCAGAGGCCTTGAACCTCAATGTACCCCAGGCAGTCATAGATTCCTTCTGCACTTACTTTCCATTCAAATGGGCTCCACAGAGAATTAAATATCTGGGGATCTTCCTGACACCTTCCCTCGGAGAGATTTTCTCGGCTAACTTTCCGCCATTCCTTGCCCAGATAAAACTTGATTTACAACTATGGACGAAAGGCCTATTCACCTGGTTTGGCCGGAATAGCATTCTCAAAATGAATGTACTGCCGCGCCTGCTCTACCTCCTTCAGACTTTGCCGGTACACATTCCGACTGGCTTTCTGAGGAAGGTGAGAGTAGAATTTGGCAAGTTCCTCTGGGCACAGAAGGGCCACCGTCTTAGCCAACTGCTCATGTCCAGACCCAAACACAGAGGAGGTATTGGGTTCCCGGATCCCTTGTGCTATCACAAGGCGGTACATATGGCGAGGATACTAGATTGGTGCCAGGGGGGAGAGGAAAAACGGTGGATGCCAATGGAGCAGTCCTGTACCACAATTCCTCTGGGGGGACTACCCTGGACAGACAGAAAGCATACGAGCCACCTCCGGACTCATCCACTCATTGGCCCTACGATGGCTACCTGTAAAGCAGATAAGACTGGCTGTAGGGCAGATAGGTATCCTTCCCTGATGACCCCAGTGTTGGGACACCCAGACCTCCCCATCTCACCCGCTGACAGGGAGATCAACCGAGTAATAAAATCAGGCAGCTTCGGGATCTACCACTTCCGGGCAGGTTCGGGTCTACTACCTCTTAAAGATATTCAAGCATGCTCCGACCCTCCCATGACCTTTTGGAAAGCACTCCAGGTGCGCCATTTCCTCACTCAATTGGTTAGGAACCCAAGGGAGCTGCCTCCACTGACACCTTTCGAGGAAATCTGTTTGAGGGAGGGTCCTACCCGCCATGGCCTGTCAGAAGCCTACAAGCTGTTGGGCGACCCGCCTGCTCTACCCCTCCCGGTGTATATATCGAAATGGGAACGAGATTTGGGAATCACCTTCACTCCGCCCCAAGTTAATAGGATATTTCAGATGACACATAAGGCCTCTATATCCAGCAGTATTCAGGAAACGGGGTTCAAAATTCTCTCCAGATGGTACAGAGTCCCGACAACCTTGCATAGAATGTTCCCACAGTGCTCACCACTCTGCTGGCGTTGCCAGACACAAGAAGGTACGCTATTGCATGTGTTCTGGTCCTGTCCCATGCTCATAGTTTTCTGGGATAAAGTGGCAGACTATGCAATACATTGACAGGGGTTGTTTTGGGATCCGACCCAGCTGAATATCTCCTACATCTGGCACCCATGCCCTTACGCCGCTATAGGAGGTGCCTCTTAGTGCACCTACTCAGTGCGGCGAAGGCGTGTATCCCCTTTACTGGAAACGCACGGCTGCGCCACCAATCTCACTGTGGCTGGCGAAGGTCGGAGAGATCTACAGAATGGAGGATCTCCTGGCCTCAGCTAACCACAGAGTGACGCAGTTTAACGCACCTGGTTCTACTGGATAGATTTCACTACTACCCAGGAACACGCTGCCCTATTAGGGGAGATGTAATGAATGACACGAGGGGCTGCTGACTTATCGCAGGCAAATGACAGGAACCGCAGTGCTGCGCTCAAGATCCGATGGTGATTAGCGGGACAACGTCTGTTTCCCCTTCTACTTTCTAGTCACTCTTTCTTCTTAGTCTTCTCTCTTCTTCTCCCCCCTCTCCTTACCTTTCCGCCTCTATCCACCCCACTTATGCATTAATATCCACATGGTATCTGTTTATTTATACAAGAGAAGATCTGGTTTACCATAGACAAATTGTACAGGTTAATGTCTGAGCCAGATTATAGTTGTACTACAAGATGTATACCCTGTGATACATAGCTGTTACAGTGGATTTTCTTGACTGATTCTCAAGTACACTTTGTGCTAATGCTATTTTCTTACTGTTTTGTTACAATTTCCATGAAAAATATAAATAAAGAATGTATTTAAAAAAAAGAGTACATTTGCTATTGTACTCCTGTGACCCAAACTCAGCAACCCGCTATATGCTGATAGCGCAGAGCCGCGCTGCAGCCATGAAGGATCCTGACAATATTGCCTGATTGAGAGCTGGCTGTGGCTCTCTAGAGCCAGTGCCAGCTGTGCCCGCCCTCTCCCCTGTCTGTCTCTCCAATAGAGAGAAGGAATAGAGAGAGAGGAGGGAATATCCCTGTGGTGAGCGCTTTGTGTGGTCGTTCAGTTCTCAAGCTAAAGAGCTGGTATGTGACAGATGCAGTGTCACACACCAGCTTTAACTATTGGGAAGAGTATATTTTACTCTCTTAATACTTCTTTACGGCAGCAAAATAGTACATACCTGTATCTCATTTTGATAGACAAACTAGACTTTCTTTTGATTATATTGTCTAGCAAAAATTATTTTATTTTTTATGCAATCCATAGGCAAAACTGTAAAGAAAAAACAAAACACTTGTTTTTCTTCTTCAAATTAATCAGTTTAAAAAGAAGGATGACTATAAATAAAAAGTATAAATGTTGTTTGACAGTTTGTCCTGTTTTATGACACTAAAATTATGATTCTGGTATAAAGCTTTGCACAGTTATTTAAAAATGAAATAGTCTTGCTTTTTTTTATTGGCTGCTCTTTATTGTGAAACAAAATTAACAAATAAAATGTATAAAAAAGAAAACATTAGGGTTTAGACAAAATAGAAACAAACAAAAAACAAATTCATCAGGAAAATAATACTTAAGGTGAAAAGGAAAAGAAGGAGTTATTTTGGGTTGATTAGGATAAACTTCGGGTTCATAAGTGGAAAAAATAACTTGTTTTCTTTTCTTTTTACAGGTTGGTTTAACTGACCTCATTTGCAGATCAAAGCCCATCCCTTTGATTGCAGATGAATAAAACCAATAAATGCAAAAATAGAAGTGTGTGTGTGTATAGTACCCATACTGGCACCTCCTAAAAGGCATCTCGCAATACTGTATTAATTGTTTAGAAGGGCTAAGAGACTCTAAATAATTTATTTTCTATATGCTTTATACAGAAGTTTTAATATCACACAATTATTAATTTGCCTATATTATACTTGTATATTTGTAAACAGGTGACCCTGGGAGTGTTGTTTCCGCTATTTGCTACACAATACCAAAATCAGCTAAGGGGAGCAGTCTTTATGCTCTTGAATCGGGCTCAGACTTTAAATCTAGGGCGATGTCCAGCGAAAACCGTGTCATTTTTGGGCCTGGAGTCACAATGTCCACATGTGATGTCAAAGTGATTGATGACAGTGAATATGAAGATGAGGAAGAATTTGAGATAGCCCTTGCTGATACGTCTGACAATGCCAGAATTGGCAGTAATGCTGCAGCCAGAGTTGTGATCGAAGGACCAAATGATGCTTCGACAGTCTCATTAGGAAATGCCACCTTTACTGTTAGTGAAGACACAGGTATAAATATGTTTTTCTACACTGAAATTGCTTGGTTTCCCTTGATAGCTCTTTTAGCTGTGATATTAATGCTGACTTAGGTGAAGATGGTATCTAGCCCATCTCTGCTTTGGTTCCGGCCACTAAACACATTACTTAATTGCCCTAGTAAATCTTCCTGCTTTTATTTTTTCTTCTTTCTTACTGTGAATGCCAGTGTCATGGTGTAGTGAATGTGTCTGCTCAGTTGAGGCCTAGGAAAAGATAGAGAGTGGAGTGCTATAGTTGAGTGAAGTACCCTATAAAGACTGCTGTAAGGTGTTCTACTGCATTATATTATGTATCACTGTACTCTTTCCAGCGTTAGTGACTGCACAAGAGAAAAGCATGCATGTCATGAGTAATGCTGCTAATCATTTTTGTCCTTCAGCATTTCACAATTATAACTGATCTTCCTTCAAGTTTTGTCATTTCCTATGTATTTGCACTCTATTTTGTATGTAATATCTACTAATGGCCAAACATTTTTTCCTACAGGGTCTATTGAGATACCTGTTCTCCGAAGTGGACCTGACCTTTCAGTGCCAACATCAGTATGGTGCGCCACTCGCCTTTCAGATCCACCTTCTGCTACTCCAGGGATTGATTATATCCCTAGCTCCAAAAAAATTGAATTTAGACCTGGTAAAACAGTAGAGGTATGTAAACACATCAGCATATTCCAAGACTTTGATAGATTCATCAGAAGTAAAAGTAGATACATTAGGAAAAAAACAGCAGGAATTATTTACGCAGAGAGAGACATGTTGTATGCAGTACCTGCACCTTGCACTGCTATGCAGAGTCTTCCAAGAACATAGAATGTGTCAAAGCGACCACTACAACAAGGAAATCAGTCCATTATGGCTGCAACTATCATTCTTCTTAGGGACCTTCTACAGTCCTGAATTCAAGCCTGGGTGATATAATGCAGTTGAATGAGTAAGATTCTGCAGGGCAATTAAATTTAATCCAACTCCAACCCAAAGACCCTCTAAACGTACATTACAAATTATTATTTTAAAAACATTCATGGATATATATATGTTTAGAAGTTTCAAAATATTTCATATTAAGTGTATCTATAGTAAAAACATTTTAGGGGATGGTTATAACCTCTCTATCACCTGCCTGGTAGAAGACCTAATTCGCTAAGGAGACCTCCCTTGCACCTCTTGTCCTGCACCCCTGAGAATGGAGACAGCATAGGCGTCTCTACAGGGGGGCAAGGGGGGGCAATTGCCCCCCCCTAGCTTATGCCTTGCCCCCCTATTTCTAGTTACGCCCCTGTTTAGTTATTTTCAGTGGTATGATTTAGTGGTGAAAATTATTAGTGCCCCCCCCATTTTGACTGTGGTATCTTATGTGCCCCCCCTATATATTGTTCCTAGAGTCGCCACTGGGAGACAGGGAATGAGACGACAGAGTAGCACAGGTGCCAAAAGGTGTATAGACACCGTGCCAGGCCACAGTCCAGAAGCTGGTTTCCAAGGAACATTAGACAGGACCAGGATCCAGCCGGAAGGTCAGCGTGGTGCCAAAACGGGAAGCAGAGGCGAAGTCAGACAGGCCAGAGGTCACACCAGTCAGACAGCAAGGTACAGGAGCAGAAGACAAAAGCATAATCCAGGAGCAAGCAGAGGTCAAGGGCAGGCAGCAATCAGCAGTCAGATGCAATCCAGTTTAAGGCAACAAACTGTCAGAATAACAGGAAGCAACAGAAAAGCTGAAAGACCATTCAGCAATAATCAACAGGGCAAGCTGGTTTAAATAGACCCATCTATTAGAGGAGATTTTGTCATATCCTGTGCGTCAGCACGTTTTTGTGCGTACGCTATGCTGCGTACGTCTGCTCACTAGCGCGTGTTTCCCGAAAATGCGGAAGACAGGACCACGGGCATGTGCAGTGTTACACGAACGGCCGGGTATAGTCTTACACTCCCTCAAGTTTTTATTGCTAGCTTTCCTATCAGGAATATGTTTCTTCACGTCTGTCTTGGAACCACAACAGGAAGTCAAAGGAAATCTTTCCTAAGTGACAGAGCTTTTATTCTCCCTTCCAAAGTTAAAAATGTGAATGCTTTGGCTAGACATACACTTTAAAATGAAAATAATTTAGTAGAGAACACAGTTTAAGAAGGCTACTAACTGCTTTTTCGGCTTCTATAGAAGATCAGCTAGTTGCACTAAAGTTATGGAAATGTTTCAGTTTCTTTATAGGTGAGAGTATTGCTACATACATATCTATAACTATTAATATACCTCTAGTACCTCTTTAGTTAATTTTAGGTTTAATGGTCCTTTTGGTATTGTCTCTTTAAACATACTAGTGGCGTATAAGCAATAAGGATCCTTGAAATAAAAAATCCATTATATTTTGTGCGCATTCTTGTAAACCTCTGTGTTTTATGAGAACATTTAAAAAGGACTCAAGAGACATGCCTAGCTTTACTCTATGACAGCTTTCATTAAAGTGTCCACAGTGCTTCTTATGATTCCAATTAAAATGCAGTAGAGGTGGTTAGAAAAGCACTGGTTATCTGACGTGGTAAAGTTATTGGGAACAATTATGTGTACAGTAAAGCACGCTTGTGATGTTTTATAATTGCTCACATTAGTTGAGTTTTGGAAATAATGTAATCAATAGGCTGTATGTGATTTTACTTATTCCTGTATTACAGCATTGCACTCTGACAATCCTTGATGACACACAGCATCCAGTTATGGAAGGACTGGAAACCTTCATTGTATTTTTAAGTTCTGCACAAGGGGCTGAACTTATCAAACCATTTGAAGCCACCGTTACCATTAACGATACCTTTCAGGATGGTAATATGCTTTGTTTTCTTCTATATGTTACTCCTCTTCATCTCACTGTAAATCTGCAGCTATTTACAGAGTACATAGAACCATTTAGATTTGTCCTCGCCTTTGAAGTTGATTACAGTATATGTAGCTATCACTAGCACAAAAAAGTTTTGAAGAGAAACCAATCATCATATAAGCAAGTCAGGCCCAGACATAGTCCCCTTTTGCCACTATCAGGAAGCCACTTTAAAGTGATGCTCAGCCAGTGAAAGAGGCTGCAGGAGATACACGGAACTGAGATGGGGAAAAGGATGGTAAAAGGTAAAACAGTGTTTTGTATATAAAAAAAAGAATGTGGCAATGGTGTATGATACATAGTGCACAGAGCAACTTATACTTCACGCAATGTCTGCTTAGTGATTTAGTGAGCCCCCACCACCTCCATCCTAATCCACTGTCCTAAACTGTACTGCAGGGGGTGATGTCACCATTCTCCCAAATGCATTGAGTTAGAGTTTAGCATTCCTTTAATGATATAGTTAGCATTTATTTGTATTTTTATTTATTCCTCAATAATCTTTCATAATGGTTAACAATGACTGCATTTATTAAACAATTAGTGGCTTTTTTATAGGGATGCACTCCACACACAACTGCTGGGTATCTCTTAGAAACAGGGCACTTGCTTTTAGACATTTTAGACATTTTATGGTGAAGATAGTATTACATTTTAACTGTTACCTTTTTTGCTCATGTGCTACGGTTTTACATTTTGAGCGTTTTGGTGTTATCTCCCCTTTTTTGAGAAATTCAATGTCATTTGTTGTTTGGTTGTTATGAAAATATTTTATCGATTTTTAAAAAAAACATTTTGGTTTCCTTTTAGTCCCTAGCATGCAATTCAGTAAGGATGTATTGACAGTGAAGGAAAAGGATGGATTGCTTCATGTTCCTATTATACGTACTGGGGATCTCAGTTATGAATCTTCAGTGCGTTGTTACACACAGTCTCAGTCTGCACAAGTGATGGATGACTTTGAAGAGAGAAGGAATTCTGATGATTCCCGTATTACATTTCTTAAAGGAGAAAAAGTAAGCATATAAATGATTGCATGATTAACTAGGCATCCTTGTTTGTATAAAACTCTATACCATAGCCCAATTCATGTAACTGTTTTGGGATTGTTAGTAAGGCAAAGATCATTGTGAAAAGTGGAGTAACCCATAACATGCAATCAGAATTCACCTGTTACTGACCCAACTACAGAAAAATAAACACATTGGTTCCTGTGGGCTACTTAAAGGAGAACTATGAGGTGAGTGCTTTTCACTCACCTCATAGTTCTAGCCGACCTGTGACAATGAGACTGTCACAGGTCGGCTCAGTAGATCGGGAAGTGAGCGAACACATACCGGTGTTCTCTCACTTCTCGATCCTGTCACGGCTCTCTGCCGTGACAGTGGAGGGACTGGATTCCCCCCTCCCAGCTCCGATCCTCCAGCGCTGACTGGCGGAACGGACGGGGGAGGGGGCGGGTACAGCTGGCTCTGCCTCTAGATAGGCAGAGCCAGCTATCACTCACGCAGCTGGGCGGATCCATATATAATTGTCGGGATGCGCTTCAGCTGCGGCTTCTCAGTATACCGCGAGCTGTAGCTCGCGGTATACTGAGCTTAGGGTGACAGGAAGACGCTAGTTTGTTTCCTCCCGTTACCCTAAGGAGAACTATGGGGAAAAGCCCTAACCCCATAGTTCTCCTTTAACTTTGACCACAGTGTCCTTTACACTTAAGCATTAAGTGAGCTTGTGTTAAGATTAACAACTCCATTGTTGCTTCATCACAGCAAATGTCCTTTATGAGCAGATGGAATTACCTTAATACTTGCCATGGTCCAAAGGTTACAATGGTTAGCAGTTAGATTTTTTTTTAAAGAAACATCTGTCTACTACTTGCATAATATAGTTTTTTTCAGAGCAGTAACCTATGCAGATCCATAAATGGAAAAAGAAATAGTATTTTATGTGTATGCTAAGTCCCCACCCCATAAGAGCTTGTAGCCATTAGATATGTACCCCATGGCTTAGTGCAGTTACATATGTAATGCATGGCTTTATGAGCATGTAGTAGTTAGATATGTACTTTGTGGCTTTATGGGCCCCTTGTCAGTTGTGCATTATTTATCTCCAATAATAGTCAACATAACTGCATTTCTTTATGAATAGGTGAAAAATTGCACAATTTTTATCAATGATGACTCAGTGTTTGAGCCAGAGGAACAGTTTAAGATTTATCTTGGCAATCCACTTGGCAGTCATTGGAGTGGAGCCAGGGTTGGGAAGATTGATGTTGCCACCATTACTATCTCCAATGATGAAGACGGTAAGTGCATATACAAGTGAATTCCATTACTAACAAATCGGTTTAAAAGTCATGTGTAACAAATACCTATATTTCTAGTAAGAAACTTAGCTTATAAATGTTGGACTGTTGTAGCGGGCCCACGGGAGACATTCAGGCAAGCCCTATTCAAATAACAAAACAGAACATTAAGATGCAGCAAGGATAAACTGATCTGTTTCACATATACTGTATGCACCATATGATAGACTATGTCAGTATGTGTTTTAGTTATATTATGAAAATTTTAAACTGTGTTAAAAACTGTTAAAATTTTTGGCACAGTTTCTGTAGATGTGTTTAATATGCATTCATGATCACTAAACCTGCTAAAAAAAATGTTAATCATAACCCTCCATATGTCTTTTAAAATCCATATAGCACCAACTATAGAATTTGAAGAGTCTACTTATCAGATCCGAGAGCCTCAGGAGCCAGATGGTGTGGCTACTTTGAACATCAAAGTAATCAGAAGAGGAGACCAGAATAGAACATCTAAGGTCCGCTGCAGCACACGAGATGGATCTGCTCAGTCAGGCGTTGATTACTATCCAAAAAGCCAGGTTCTTAAATTCAGTCCTGGTGAGTTTTTTTGCAAAGAACTTATAGCAACAGGTAGCAGTAAACTTGTAAATGAAATAAGGTTGAAAAAATATTGTGTTTCTGGTAAGGCAGACAGCTGCAGGAGTGGGGAAGGCTTCAGGGTCACTTGAGTGAAAGATGAGAACCAGTGGGCAAATTAAATTTTGTCCAGAAAGGCCCATCTGCCCAAAAAATAAGCACAGCATTCCTATCCGTTATAAACTGTGCAAATCCTCAGCCACAGATCCTGCAAGTGGGCATCATATTTTTATAGAAACAAAAGCCATAATTTATTCTTGTAATTAAAGCCCTATTGAATAATGGATATTCATGTTATTTATTCATGCATTTTTCTCTTACATCATATGGCATTCATTCAAAAGAGTGGAGGCCATTATAGCCACAAAGTGGAGGCCAGCTCCATATTATTGCCCATAGATTTGGAATGGGATGTCCAACAAGGTTATACTGGTGTGATGGTCAGGCTTCCACAAATGTTTGGCCATGTAGTGTGCATTTTAATCATGTAAAAAACATTGATGGTATTGTGTGCAGGATCTGTGGTGGGCTTTGCAGGCTGCAGAGCCCCCTATGGATCCTGCAAATCCCCCCTGAGACCCGGCAAAGCCCCCCACAGATCCTGAGACCCTGCAGGATCTCAGGTGGCTCTGCAGGATCTGTGGTGGGCTTTGCAAGCTGCAGAGCCCCCCTATAGATCCTGCAAAGCCCCCCTGAGACCCAACAAGGCCCCCCACAGATCCTGCAGAGACCCCCTGAGATGCTGCAGGGTCTCAGGGGGGTTGTGCAGGATCTGTGGTGGGCTTTGCAGACTGCAGAGCCCCATACGAACCCTGCAGAGCCCACCAACGGGTATTGCACAGCCACCTGAGACTCTTTGGTGGGCTGTGCAGAATCTATGCTGGGCTCTGCCAGCACAGTACTCTTACCTTGCATGGCCTGACCTCTTTGGAACACGGCCTCCTTGTCCTCGGCGCAAGACTGGATGGCCTCCTTGTCCTCGGCGCAAGACTGGATGGCCTCCTCATCCTCGGCGCCGACACGGCCTCCTTGTCATCTTTGCCGCCCAACTGGCTACTCAACAAAATTTTTTTCTCTCATGGGGGCCGCTTGTCACATTTTGCACTTTAAAATAAAATGTAATTATATCCAGTTTAAGTACTACAGACACTAATACACACTCACAATAAGGTCCTATTCATTTCTGTAGGTTTAGGTGTGATTAGGGATTCCTGCATCAGAAACTTGCGTTTTACTGCAGCAGAAATCCCTAATCTGGTGTTTACAAGTGACAGCTGTCACCTATTCAAGTTAATGATCAGGTGACAGCAGCTCCATGTAAACGCCTGCACACCGCATGTAATGATATGTGATATGATTACATGCTGTTAGAAAACACTGCGTCCAGGGAGAGTGATTGATTCCTAACCGAATGTAATCATATACAACGTATCTTTACATGCGGTGTGCAGGCATTTACATACAACTGCTGTAACCTGATCATTAACTTAGGTGACAGCTGCCACTTGTAAACGCCATTTTAGGGATTTCTGCTGCAGGAAAACGCAGGTTCCTGACGCAGAAATCCCTAATTGCACCTAAAATAAAGGGGTGAATGTAGCCTAATACACTTCTAATTCCCCCACATACACGTAAAAAAAAATACATCCCCTGTACATATAAAATAATATCCCCCATGACAAAATAAGGTACACAGTCAATTATAATTTATATAATAAAAGTTATTTTTATTATGTAATTTCTGAGTTTCGTTCCGCTTTATTGCATCATGGCTATTTTTATTTGGTAAGGGCACATTTCCTAACATTTCTCTTGAAAGACCAAACTGTCACAGCCACATTTATTTTTCAGAAATAAAATTGAGAAATGTATTAATTAACCAGTTTATGGTTTATCTGTCACTATTTGCAGGTGTTGACCACATCTTTTTTAAGGTGGAGATCCTGTCAAATGAGGACAGGGAATGGCATGAGTCCTTTTCAGTGGTTCTTGGACCAGATGACCCAGTTGAGGCCATTCTTGGTGATATCACAACTGCAACAGTAACAATTCTGGATCAAGAGGCGGCAGGAAGTCTGATATTGCCATCGCCACCTATAGTAAGTGCTGTGTTATAGTTAGTAGTGAAATATATTTCAGTTTAAATATCTTTGCAGGTAAACTTGTAAGATTTTCCATAGAAGTTCACAGTAATGTTATATTTTAAGAATGTGTAATATTAGAAGATTTAATATTATATATAAATAGTTATATAAAGTAGTATTGATTCACATTTAACAGGTGAACTCCAGGCGAACAGCTAAATATAGTTAAAATAGTTATATAATATGTAAACATTGTTCACCTGTCAAAGGATATGCAAATCTGTTTAGGCAGTCTAATGATTCAGACACCCCACAGCCAGGTCCTGGATCTCTCTATAGACTACACTGCAGTTAAGGGAGAACTATGGGGCTAGGGCTTTTCCCCATAGTTCTCCTTAGGGTAACGGGAGGACACAAACTAGCATATACAAACTAGCGCGGTATACTGAGACGCCACAGTATACCGCGAGCTACTCGCGGTATACTGAGACGCCGCAGCTGAAGCGGATCCCGACAATTATGTCTGGATCTGCCCAGCTGCGCGAGTGACAGCGGGCTCTACCTATCTAGAGGCAGAGCCAGCTGTACCCACCCCCTCCCCCGTCCGTTCCGCCAGTCAGTGTTGGCGGATCGGAGCGGGGAGGGGGGAATCCAGCCCCTCCCCTGTCACAGCAGAGAGCTGTGACAGGATCGGGAGGTGAGCGAACGCCGGTATGTGTTCGCTCACTTCCCCATCTACTGAGCCGACCTGTGACAGTCTCATTGTCACAGGTCAGCTAGAACTAGAAAAGCACTCACCTCATAGTTCTCCTTTAAGCAAGACAGCATGGTCCAGGAACTTATATGTGATTGGAAAATGAAAGAGGAACAGAAAATCCAGGTTTTTCCTAATTTCCTTTAAGCATGTTTACAGTGTTAGACTTACAGCACTGAGCAAAAAATCAGAGCCTTTGTTGACTCCGGTACTCTTCCAGTCTGAGTGCTTCTACAGAGGTTTGATATTATGATATACCTGGCAAGGCAATACCTGACAGGCAATACCTGCATTGTCCAGTCCAGCAGGGTCCAGATACGGCACTCCGAGGTCAGGCCGAGGATAGCCACACTGGATAGCTGCAATCAGAGAGAAAAACCCAAGCAGCAATGTACAGAAGAGTCTTGATTGAAGAAAAAGAGAACAGTAAGAAAAGAGTACCAGCAATAAATATATTCATCTCTTACACAGCTGAGCTAAAGAAAAGACATCCATCCTCCTAAGACACTAACAAAAAACTGGGGCATACTCCTGTAGGTAGCAGTAAAACCCGAAGGTTAAAGACTTCCTGTGCCCCTTAATGGACAAGAAAAAAATCATGTTTTTATATCTGCCTCAAGTTTGGTTTTCACCTTGGAAGCAGTCTCCTATATTGGACTGTAGTTCATCTTTTTCTCACACATCTTAGTCTCTTTAGACCGGTGTTGCATAGTATTTGTAAATACTGTGGTTTGCAGGCTGATAAATATATATCATTTTAAAGCTACTTTAGCAGACTTCCCCTTCCTGAGAATAACTGATAGAATAAGGCTAATATTGTTTGTTTTTTAGAAGAGTATGTTACAAAAAAAGCATTGTGGTAGCAGTATATACATTAGTATGCAGGCTGACTAGGGATTTCCTAGTAGTAAGGCAATGATTGTTCATGGAGAAAGAAACTACATAGATCCTATGTCTTACGGGACTGCTCCAAAAAGACTGTTTTCGTACAGTGGGAGTTGAGTGTAGCATATAAGTTAGAATTAGTGTGTAAATTAAATGTAATGGCCTGTTCTTCTGATCTTCCATTTGAAAAGCACATCCCTGACTCACTTCTAAACCATCAGCCTGTGCTTCAGTGGCTACTGGTAAGCCCTCAAATCTAGCAGTCTGACATATTATGGAAGCAGAGGCACAGACGAATGGGCCCTCAATGCACATCTGTACTGGGTATTGCAAATAGCGGAATTTTCACACAATAGTCTCCTCTATCTACTCCATAACAATAAGTGTTTTATAGTGATCTCCTTTAAGGCTATATACTGCAGTGTGCACTCCCTCCTGGATTGTTTGATATGCATTTTTTTTTTTTTGCAGATATAATTATTTACCCAATGCTGTGCTAGCGTATACATATTATGTTCTTGTGGAGATCAGAGGAGGATTGGCTGGCTCCTTAAAATATGAAATATGAGTAGAAATCACTGTACAGTTAGTTATGAGTCATTACCTGTGCCCTAAGTAATTACACTAAATGTACTTTCATCTCAGTGTACATATAACTTCAGTATAATGCTGCCTGTTGCTGTCTGTTGCTTTTATTGCTCATCCTGAGAGTTAAATACATTTATGAAATGAGCCTGCAAAATTACTTGTAGGTAAGGTAATTAAATAGAAAGCTGTCATTTTATCATGATCTTGTCAGTGGGGTCTGACCAGCCTTATCACTCTGTATAGGTTCTATTTTATGGCTTATGTGCTTGCCTCATTAAAGTGACATTAAACCCTCAGATTTTTTAACATAAACCAATACTGTAATGTGTGCCTTACTGTAATCCATGGTAGTTTCCCTTCTCTTTGCTGCTCTTCCTTTTAAATCCTCATGTCTTCTAATGCCTGGGGAGAACTTCCCTTTGCAGCTGAGTGCCTCTTCTTGTAGTTCTGGCTCATGTTGCAAACCAACACACAGGCACTATGTATCCATTTCAGAGACAAGGTAGTCTGCTGCAAAACAGAAGTTCTGCCCATCATGAGAACAGATACAGATTTAAAAGGAAGAGCAGAAAAGAGAAGGGAAACTACCATGGATTACAGTAAGGCACACATTACAGTATTGTTTTATGTTAAGAAATCTGAGGGTTTAATGTCACTTTAAGTCAACTAGTACAAATTAATTGTAAGGTAGGTTGGGGGTTAAGAACATGGTTAAGTGTTTTTCTGCACAGAATCAAATTTCTGTATACTGGTTGAAAAAAAGCTACCACAATGTCAATTGGTGAGCAGCATTGCAGAGATGTGACAACATTTTTGAGCATTCTGATATGTGAAATGAGACAGACTCCTGGCAAATTACATTATTCAGTCCTAAGTCATTGTGCTTGCAGTTGTCAAATCATTGACTCATCTGATCTGAATTAAAAAAAAAATATGTGACCTTAGGCGGGCTTTCTTTTTAAATTTTTATATAAGTCAAACCCTCAGGTTTTCACTCTGCACTTGGTCTTCTTACAACTTCCCACAATCAGTCAACCAAGCACCTTTGAGTTCACTACAACTTACTCAGTAACTTTGCTTGCATGTCCACCCTGACATTCCAGTGGTACAGTATGATGTGTGAGGTAATGGCACTTTGGGAGTGGAACTGATGGCAAATAAGGGAATTATGTAAGCAATATGTGAATGCCTATATGCTTGGGTTGTGTCTGTCTGGCAAGAAGATCTGTGTGTAAACCTACTTAAGAACTAAATAAAACTGTAAGAGTGGCATGTAGTCATCTATTCTGGTGGCCTTGACACTCTAGGTACTGGCTTGTGTGGCCTTTTAGGAATTCCAGCCCTCAACCTAATCAGAGTTTCTGCAATCAGTGTAACTGTTTTCAGGTATTATGGGAACCAGGAATACATGTCTTTTGTTAATTTGCAGCCTTATTGACATTTTAGTTTTGCACTGTTATTTACATTACTCCCATCAATGTATGTAGCACTTTAATTATTAATTCTGCTTGCCTTTAGGTGGTCTCTTTGGCTGACTATGACCATGTGGAGGAAGTCACCAAAGAAGGTTCGAAGAAATCCCCATCTCCTGGGTACCCATTGCTATGTGTCACACCATGTGACCCCCACTTTCCTAAACACTCCATAATGAGGGAGCGATGTGAGGAGGCCGGCATCAACCAGTCAACTATCATGTTCAGCTGGGAAGTGGCAGCGCCCACTGACTCCAGTGGAGCCCGGTCTCCCTTTGAGACAATAACTGATACTACCCCTTTCACTAGTGTCAATCACATGGTGAGTACCCACAGAAAATACCAGTCTTGTATGATTAAGCATGAGGTGATAAGTGACAACAAAATTCTGTTAATGGATAAAATAGGACCAGATAAAGAAATGCATAATAGGCAATTTACAGAACTGGTTACTGTTGTCTCTCTCACCAAAGAGCACAGATACTGACTTGGTCCCTAGGCACAAAAAACAGCCTTGGCAAGTTAGGCACACAATCCTACTTTCCTAAACCCAATGGTTCAGTAATATTCATGTACTGGCAGCCTTATTAACTCAGAAATGTGGTGGGGACCAAGTGAAGAATGATGCAACTTAGAAGTTCTGATTTGCTTATATACTTTAAGAAATATCACCCACCCCTCCCCGAGGAGACGCCAGGGTTGCCATATTGCCATTCCAATCCTGTAGGCACTACTTTATTTTTTTATTACTATTTTTTTCCACCCATTAACATTTATAGTGTTGTCCTCGTTTAACTGACAGGCAACAACCATGACAATAACACATGTAGTAAATGTATACATTATTTATTTTCTATATCAAAGTTTATTGAAACAAATTAAATGGTTGTGGAGTTTTCATACAAAGTAACATTTACACAGCAATTTTAGGCAAGTCTCATCTGCACGTGAAATTGTCGGTATAGTAATTTAAATAATTCTGAGATTGTAAACTCACAGGCAGGGCCCTCCTTACCATTTTGTCTTGATTTGTATTGTGATTGTAATGTCTTCTACATATTGTGAAGTGCTGCGCAAACTGTTGGTGCTATATAAATCCTGTATAATAATAATTATCTTTAATGTATATTGAGGATTGTCTTCATAGATACATTACTTAAATGTGATTTCTATCTTGTGTCCACTCAAGGTGCTGGATAGCATTTATTTTAGCAGGCGATTTCATGTACGCTGTGTAGCCAAAGCTGTAGATAAAGCTGGACATGTGGGCACACCACTGAGAAGCAATATTGTGACTATAGGAACTGACAGTGCCATCTGCCATACTCCAGTAGTAGCAGGCACGGCTAGAGGATTCCAGGCCCAGTCTTTTATCGCTACTTTGAAATATTTGGATGTCAAACATAAAGAACATCCCAACAGGTATGTCATAAGTTGCTGTGAAGTGACCATAAATGAAATGAAATACAAAATAAAATATTACAAGGTCAAATATCCAGTTAGTTAAAAAAAAAAGCTTCACTGCTTACTTCCATCCAGGTCTTTACTGTGCATTATTTTTTTCCTCAGAATTCACATCTCAGTTCAGATACCACACCAAGATGGCATGCTACCGCTCATCTCTACTATGCCTCTGCATAACCTGCACTTTCTCCTCTCTGAGTCTGTTTATCGCCACCAGCATGTGTGCTCCAACCTTGTCACCATCCGTGACTTGAGAGGCATTTCAGGTATTGTATGCCCTACTATAGCTGCAAAGCCAGAGAAAGAACACTCTAAAAACATAGAATAAAACTATATCTAATCTATATTTTTGTATACAATGTTGGCCTCGGTCTTCCAGCATACTCACAGGCTTATATCATTTAAACTAGCAAGGAGTCAAGCAGATAAAAACAGCCTCTTCCCAACAGAAATACTAGACAGGAGAAAAGCTCATATGGTTTGTAATGTGTTTGTCAAGAAAACTGCAACAGTTGTTTTTGTTGGAAGAAGCACAAAGCTGTGTCTATGATATGCTCCCTTACTGTTTAAAGTTGGGGCACACATTAGATTGATGAATGATGTGCCCATATATATCCAGTGTTAAGATATTTAGGTCATTTATCAAATACAACATGTTGGTTTCTCAAATAAATATCCTATTACCGCCTTCTGCCTAAACGACACCATTGTTATGATATTTCCTTCTTTGTGACAATCAACCACAGGCAATAATATACGTCATACCCAAAAATGTTTTGTTATCACTTGTAGTATGTCATTATATCCAGTGCCTGTACACTTGGGTTATAAACGGGTCAGCAAAGTAGATTATATTCTCTGCAATCATTACTGCACAGTACAATTTATTCATCTGTTACTCTTTACCATACTTATATGAATGGATGCATAATAACAAGGTTACAAAGCTTTTATTTTTTTATACATAATTGTTTTTGTTTTCAGAGGCAGGATTCTTGGATGAGGTGACATATGACAGCATCGCTGTGGGTCCTGGCTATGATAGACCGTACCAGTTTGACCCTAACGTGAGAGAGCCAAAGACTGTGCAACTATACAAACACCTTAACCTGAAGAGTTGTATTTGGACCTTTGATGCATATTATGACATGACTGAACTCATTGACGTCTGCGGTGGTGCTGTAACAGCTGACTTTCAGGTATTGTTCTACTGATATTATTGTATGCGCATTAGTAAGAATACATGGCTGCATAGTGTGTCCAGAATATAATATAGATGACATGAAGTAGAACATTGCTGTAGGGAATACCATAAATAATAAGGGATAGATCCACATCACTGTTGTAACAGATATAAAGAATATATAAAACATTTACACAGTGTATAAATAATAGCAATCTATGTGTTTACATTGGTTTTGTATTTGAATTCAGACTAATGCACTAAAAATAGACAAGTTTCATTGTTAGACCTCATTCACACTGCTATGAGCCCGCCTATACAGATCCATGAGGCGTACACAGCCGTATCAAGCCGCTCACAGAAAGGACAGTGAACATTGTTTTCCATCACCCAGTTTATACTTTTTTTTTAATATAAATTCTTTGTTTAAGGTTATTATTACAGTACAAATAACAACATAGGAGAAACAAAACTGTTGACTTATCAAACTTGCAACATACAACTATTCACACATAAATGTTAAATCAGCACAATGCAGATAGAACATGGGAGAAAGAAGGTGTACAAGTCTAGGAACACACAAGGAAAAGAGTTGTATTACTGTTACGACACTGCGTTTTGATGACAGGCTTCTCAAATAAGAAACCAGTTTATATTTTATATAACCAAGTTTCATTTAAAAAAATATGTACATATCATTACACTGCTCAGTATGAGATGCTGCAGGCAGCTATGAAGGAGTTTATGTGGCCAAGAGGGTGACGGTACACATTCCATCCCTATGCACTATACCGAGTGAGATGTACTACACTGTGGAATGTACACAATACAATGCAATGCAAACAAGATTTTCACTTTAAAGCAGACCTATCAGTAACTTTACAATCCTGCATGAATACATTTTCGACAGTTCACAATACACTGCAATGGAAACATTTCCCAAATGTCAGCTGTCTTTTGCCTAGACGTGGGAAGTGCATCTTAGGAAAACTATATTATGAGTCTACAGACTGGAAGAAAGCATTTCCTCACTCTCCCATTCCCCAGTCATCACTTACTCACACTGTACATTGTAACGTTCTGGCCAGTCACAAGATGGGAGGCAGCAGCTGGGGGGCTGAGCTGTGTGAGACATGCACATACATCCAAAAACAAGAAAGTTACTAGAGAAACATTAGGCATGGAAAAATGTGCAATGCACGGCAATGCATGCAGCGTTTTGCAATGCCGTTTATTTTGAATAGCACTCTAACACACATACAGTGCATTATATTGCATTGTATCGGGGAAAAAATGATGTATAACTCATTTTAGCTGTGGTGTGGTTAATTGGAAGCCTATTCCAAATATTGGGCTGCCTTAAAGGAGAACTATGGGGTCAGTGTTTTTCCCCATAGTTCTCCTTAGGGTAACGGGAGGACACAAACTAGCGTCCTCCCGTTACCCTAAGCTCAGTATACCGCGAGCTGTAGCTCGCAGTATACTGAGACGCCGCAGCCGGAGCGGATCCCGACTTAGATGACGGGATCCGCCCAGCTGCATGAGTGACAGCTGGCTCAGCCTATCTAGAGGCAGAGCCAGCTGTACCCGCCCCCTCCACCGTCCGTTCCGCCAGTCAGCGCTGGCAGATCGGAGCGGGGAGAGGGGAATCCCGTCCGAACCCGACGAAACCTCGCTGCAAAATGACATTCCTGCCCGAAAACCATTCGGGTCTGTGAGCCGATGTGTCATAGTACTTTTCATATGCAACGAACGAACGAAACGGCAATTCGTACAGACTACTGCTAACGAATTTCGGAATCAGAAATTTCGGATTTGTTTGCATTCGTTATATCTGTAATTCGGAATTCGGATACATTCGAATCTCGGAATTTCCGAAATTTCGTCCGAATTTCGATTTGAAACAAATCGCACATGTCTACTTAGCATGCACCTAGCATTAAAAAGAATTATGGTAGGTTCCCATTAATATTTATGCTAAGACACTGGAATGAAATAACATTTTGATTTTACATGTTGTTTTTTATTTGTTTGTGAGGCCTAGTTCACACCAGATGCAGTTGTGATGCAGTCTGTTCAGTTTGGTAGCTGCATCAAAATCGCCTCACAATGCTTTCCAATTGGATTTCTGGTGCTCTGTTCACACCAGTGCAGTCAGTTCCGATGCAGTCAGAAAAAATACTGCTCATCTCATTTTAGCTGCAACGGAACGCATCAAAAATGCATTGGAACACACTGGACTGCACCTGAAAGTCCATTTTAATCTTTAAAAAATAAAGGACCAAAATTGGGGTAAAATCGCGGCAAAACACATCGGATTGCAGTTGTGCAGACGCACGCAGTAATGGTGTGAACTAGCCCTAATTTATCAACAGATCCTAAGATGATGAATTTGCACTATACTTCTGTTGCTCTGATAAACCGTGTCACAAGTAAACTGTAATATCAAATATTGTATGTTTTATGCCACAATTATGTCTGTTCATAATCCTTTAAAGGTGAGAGACTCGGCCCAGTCCTTCTTAACTGTTCACGTCCCCCTCTATGTATCGTACATATATGTGACTGCACCCAGAGGATGGGCATCATTGGAGCACCACACAGAGATGGAATTCTCATTCTTCTATGACACAGTCCTCTGGAGAACTGGTAAGATTTAGGAGTCTTTTTATTAAACAAATTGCATAGAAATTCCTCTAGCGAACCTGCATATACATTTGTTCTGTGCAAGTAAACCAGCTGTTTTAGAAACTGGGCAACATTGACTATTCTTTGGGTATTTTCTCATAAATCATCTGACGCTTGCTCTCACTTGAAATAAGCACTAGTATAATATGATGTGGCCTGTCAGTTCCTATAACACCAGTGTTTCTATGTTGTAAGCAGTGGTGTATTAATGTATTTGGCTGCCAAATACATTAATACATTAATACATTAGCCAAGCTTCGGCCGCCCTCGGCACCTTACTATGCGGTAAATACGCCCCTGGTTGTAAGTAGATACATTAGCCACAGAAGTTCTGTAAATAATAATCCCACAGACTGGTGCTGATTGCCTTTGGCAGACAGAAACAATGTTACAAACCAGAAAAAGTAAATATATTTGCTGCTCTGACAATTCTTGAGAGTCAGAAGTCTACAAAAATCATCATAGTGTCAAAAGGTTTGGCAGCAATTATAACATTTGCTACGTTGCATATATTTTGTAACTCGTTAATAAACAGAATTTATTTCATCTTACAGGTATACAGACGGATAGTGTCCTGTCTGCCAGGCTCCAGATCATTCGCATATATATCCGTGAAGATGGACGTTTGGTCATAGAGTTTAAAACTCATGCTAAATTCAGAGGTAACTTTCATTCTGATGTAAATGTCACAAGGCTCAATTCACAAAGCTAACATACTATGATCAGAATCCTTTTAAAAATAAGTGTCCGTTATTTTCTATTGAGATTTGATCTTTGTGCGAAAGCTTTGTAAATGAATCATATAGACATTCCAAAATCTTTTTACATATAACATATAAAATCATGTTACTGTAGCCTTTTTTAACCTTTTAAACACGGAGAAACCCTTAAAATTACTTTTAGATATCAGGGATCTCCTGCTAATGACTACTTTATCTGCATCTCAGTTTACATTAGAGCAAATAGTAGGTTGAGATATAAAAAGGAATAAAGAATAGCGTACTTAATGTATTTGACACACAGGGATTCTCTATACAACAAAATTGGTTTCAGTCACAGTAATGAAATGAAATGAATAAGAATTATATTAATATTAATGGCTAGAAAAAAAACAGACAGTGAAAACTGTTTTAGGGTAAGCTGCACAATTCAACCACTCTCACTGTACAGATTATCTCCCTATACTAATGTAAATATCTTCTATGCACAACTGATGTCCATGAATCCTTGGGAAATAACACGTGTCATCTATTCCACAGGTCAGTTTGTCATGGAGCATCACACATTACCAGACATGAAATCTCGTATAATTGCACCAGATCATTTGGGTGGCATTGAGTTTGACCTTCAGCACTTGTGGAGTGCCCAGACTTTTGACTCTCCATATCAGTTGTGGAGAGCAACCAGCTCATACAGCAGGTAGGAACAAGAGAATCATCTGTAAATTAGCTACAAGAATATGTTATATGATGTTAACCTTTCCTCTGTTTACAGGAAGGACTACTCAGGAGAGTATACCATCTATCTCATCCCTTGCACAGTACAGCCCACCCAGCCTTGGGTGGACCCTGGAGATAAACCTCTGGCCTGCACAGCCCATGCTCCTGAAAGGTCAGAAAATGTATCTGAAATTGCTTAAACATTATCTCTTATAGAATATGCTGGAAAAGTTTTATACTCCACAACTTTGTGTGTTGTTATATTATAATACCAAAGCTGTAGGAGCTTATTTGCATTTTCCTGTGTGTTGTGCCGCTTGGAAAGGCACATTTAAATGTCATGTTCAGATGGAAGAGATGAATGATAAATTACTCACCTGTTGGAATCTCTCACCATCCAGAATGCATGCAATGTGTGGAGATATTTCCCCTTTATGCTGGAGCAGATGTGGACAATTAGGTACACTGGCACACATTTGGTGGACATGCCCCGTTATAAAGGGGTATTGGGGTCAGGTGAACAATAATTTATATTATGAGCTGATGTAATGAGAAAATACTTTGTATTCATTAATAACCTATGAGTTTCACATTTTATCTTCTTAGGTTTCTCATTCCAATTGCATTCCAACAAACCAATCGCCCAGTCCCAGTAGTGTATTCATTAAACACTGAATTCCAGTTGTGCAACAATGAAAAGATCTTCTTGATGGACCCAACCAAGACTGAAATGTCCCTGGCCGAGATGGATTATAAGGGGGCCTTTTCCAAAGGTAACATTGCTTAATTATCTAAAATAATTTTTAACCTGCGCTGTGCAACAATATTCAAATGATAAAAATCAGTAGAATCAAAACTATAAAAAGGTCTAGAACATCTAATAATAATCTTGAAACAATGAGATAATTCTCAGACATGATGGGAAATGGGAACATCAGGCATTTACCTACACCTCCCCATGGAGGAAAGAACAATCATCTCAGCCAGTTTAATGAAAAACGCAGACAGTTCCACAGAACCTTCAGCAGATGACAAGATCAACTGTTGGAGGGACTCATCATAAATTCTCAATGCAAGCCAAAATATTATATGCAGAATATAATATGCAACAATCTATTATCTTGACAAGTACTGAGAAATGGTTCTTCACAAGTCACCTACACTGTGAACTGGTTTGCAAGACTCTTAAATTTAGCAAGTTCATGAGTTTGATTAATTAGACACACTTTAATGAAAATGCAACACTCCATAAATTAAGTTGTTGAAGAATATGAAATCTTGCTATTCATATAGGCACAGCATGAGGTATATTGCTTATACTAATGCAGAGTAGTGAACATTTCCTTTTGTGTTACATATTATAACTTGTATGTGCTTCTAAGTAGGGCATGTTTTATTTGAACCCATTCGTGTGATAGGTCATCATTGGTTTTGCTGTCTGTGGAAACAAAGGGAAGCTTAAAGCAGCTTATGATTCCAAAAGAAGTAAACCTGTCAGAAACCTAGACGTTTTAAACTACAATGGTACCTCGGTTCAAGAACTTAATTTTTTCCACGATTCTGGTTGCGAACTGAATTGGTCGTGAACTGAATCAAATTTCCCCATGAGGTTCAATATAAATAAGGTTAATCCATTCTGACCCCTACGAACGTAGTCGCAAACCGATTTAGGTCGCGGACAGAATCACATTTTGCCATAAGGTTCAATGTAAACAAGGTTAATCCATTCTGAACCACATAAATATTAAACAAAGTACAGTACAGTATGAAGAGAGTGAACTCTAACCTTTTTTGAGGCGCTCTGCACATTCTTTTCACCTTCATTACCGCTCTGCACTTTTTTACCACCATGCTTGCTCTGCACTTTCTTTTTACCACCATGCTTGCTCTGCACTTTCTTTGGAGCCATGATGGATTTAATAATACTGTACAGTACTGTATGTGCTAAAAAGCACACAAAAAAGCTTTACAGCAAGGGTGCACAGGTCTGTCTGCGATCTCGGCTAGAGGAAGCCACGACCACATGTCAGAGCGGGGAAGATGGCCACGGTCGCGTTCGTCACCCGATTTGGAGTTCGTGAACGAAAGCAAAATTTTGCCAAACTTCCTGTGCGCGAACCGTATTGTTCGCAAACAGAAGCGTTCGTGAACCGAGGTTTTGCTGTATATGACAGTGAATATAATACTTTAAGGCTACCATCAGCAAAAACTACATTTTAAAACTAATTATAGATACAGAAGCAGCTAAAATGATATGCAAAGCTTGACTTTTCCTGTTAATCAACCTTTCTCACTCTTCTTATGCCTATCAGTCCTCCCTGTTGGTCCTTTAATGTGATGGATTGCCTGACTGGCCAATAGGAGGACTTAAAAAGTAGGAGAGAGCAGGCCATGTTAAGGTTTATGACAAAGGGACCAGAATTGCTTCTAAATTCAGCTGTTATCTTTGGATTTAGTAATAATTTTGTTAGTTTTCATTGCACACCCTCTGTTTGCATTGCTTAGACTGTGAAAATATGAATTTAAAGGAGGAGTCCTGGAGCAATGGTATATTGAACTTATGTAAAAGTATTTAAACGACTTGCCGACTTACCTTGTCTCAAAGTATCACCCTAACCGTCCCCTACGCTCCTACCAAGACCTCCTGCTCTCCAGCTCCCTTGTCAACTACTCCCATGCACACTTCCAGGATTTCTCTAGAGTCTCTCCCATTCTTTGGAACTCCTTACCCCAATCTGTCCAACTATCTCCCACTCTGACTGCCTTTCGGCGATCACTAAAGACTCATCTCTTCAGGGAAGCCTATCCCACCTCAAACTGACCACTGAACTCTTTCTCAAACAATTCATCCCCACGCAGCTACCTCCTCTTGTATCACTTGCCCCTACCTTTTAGACTGTAAGCCCTCAGGGGCAGGGCCCTCCTTACCATGTTGTCTTGAATTGTATTGGGATTGTAATGTCTTCCTTATAATGTAAAGCGCTGCGCAAACTGTTGGCGCTATATAAATCCTGTATAATAATAATAATGTCTTGTTTAGGTCAAACACTATATGGAAGAGTACTGTGGAATCCTGACCAGAACCTCAATTCTGCCTACAAGCTGCAGCTGGAGAAGGTCTACCTTTGCACTGGGAAGGATGGATATGTACCTTTCTTTGACCCAACTGGAACTATTTATAATGAAGGGCCTCAGTATGGTTGTATTCAGCCTAATAAAAACTTGAAGCACCGCTTTTTGATCTTGGTAAGTAGTAGATCTTACATAAACTTTTACCATAATGGCTATTAATCCAGGATCAAAATAAAATGTTATTCATTTGCACTAGAAAAATGTGGAATCCCAGAGGTTATTGACAACAGCTTCAGTTGACACAGGAAGCCACAGTGAGCGTTGCACTTTCATTTTTAGATAGAGTGAGGAAGGGTTTTTAGTATCAGGTTTTAAAGATGGTCTGTGTTACTGCTGGAGAAATTTCCTACATCCTGTTGCAAATACACAAAAGGAAGTAAGATGAAATCTCCACAAACTTAGGCAAAATCCCACCTATGACGGTTGTTACAAGTTACTACTGGAACTTTGCCCTCAAGAAAATGAGGGGGTAATATCCTCTGTTTTACAACTGTACTTTCCAGCATGGTCTATACAGTATAAGCATATTGTGTTTTCTTGAACTGTTCTCTGTTTAATATGCAATTCTAGTTGCATTAAAAAATAGAGGCTAAAGTCAATCCCCACTCTATCCAAACCATCAAAAATGGCAGTTCCGCAGAAAAGTAGTATACTACGTATAGGTGATATTTGTTTTGGTGTTTAAAATTAGAGTAACATTTTGTTAGCCTGTTATTTCCAATAACTAGGTCAAATAATTAACTTCAATCATTTAATACTACAGCCCATGTTACAATGGTATACACGCAAGTGTGCCTAGTGCATTTGCTGCATGCATGTAAGTTTGCCTATTCCCTGTATACAGTTTATTATACTATAGATTTCATTAAACAATTGTTTCTTGTTTACTCTGCAATTCTGCAGGACCGACATCAGCCGGAAGTTACTGATAAATACTTCCATGATGTTCCGTTTGATGCTGGCTTTGCTACAGATCAACCAGATTTTCATGCTATGAGTGGATTGCCAGGAGTAGACGGGTTCACTATGAAAGTTGATGCTCTGTATAAGGTATATTTATTATATTTATGTATATTTATTCATTTATTTTGCATTATTATTATAATTAGGGATGCACCGGTACTAGTATCGGTGCCATGGCCCCTACGTCATCTAATGATGGGACGGCTTCCTTGTTAATCGGGAAGCCGGGTAGCGAGTCTTTACACGCTTCCCCGCTACTCAGGAAGCCTGTCGGGCTTCCGGTACTCGGGATTTGGTATCGGCGAGTACCGAAAAAAAAAAATATCACTACTTGTACTCGGTACCAAAATACCGGTATAGGTGCATCCCTAATTATAATATTTGCATCATTTTCAACAACTACAAAGTAAACCAACTTAAAGGAGAACTATGAGGTGAGTGCTTTTCACTCACCTCATAGTTCTAGCCGACCTGTGACAATGAGACTGTCACAGGTCGGCTCAGTAGATCGGGAGGTGAGCCAACACATACCGGGTTCGCTCGCCTCTCAAACCTGTCACGGCTCTCTGCCGTGACAGGGGGAGGGGCTGGATTCCCCTCTCCCCGCTCCGATCTGCCAGCGCTGACTGGCGGAACGGACGGGGAGGGGGCGGGTACAGCTGGCTCTGCCTCTAGATAGGCAGAGCCAGCTGTCACTCACGCAGCTGGGCGAATCCCGTCATCTAGGTCGGGATCCGCTCCGGCTGCGGCTGTAGCTCGCGGTATACTGAGCTTAGGGTAACGGGAGGACGCTAGTTTGTGTCCTCCCGTTACCCTATGTGGAAAAACACTGACCCCATAGTTCTCCTTTAAGGGCTAGTTCACACCAGCCAGAGTGCGTTCACATTGTGGATCACATTGTGGAAGGCTCACTTTGTTGTGGGGCGGGAGGGGGCGTGGCGGTGCATTGAACTCAATGACAACGGGAACGTGTGGCACATCAATGCCTGCAGTCCCGTCAGAAAAAATAGTGCAGCATTTTCTCTGACCAGACCGCAGGCATTCATGTGGCTACGGTGCCATTGAGTTCAATGCACCGCAACGCCCCCTCCCGCCCCACAACAAAGTGAGCCAGCCGCAATGTGATCCAGTGTGTTCTGGCCAGAATCGGGCCAGAACGCACTGTGGCTGGTGTGAACTAGCCCTCAGTCAGAAACCAGTTGCTGTCGCTGTGTATCTCACCCACCAAGCTTACAATCTATAGGTTAATTTTTAACATTTATAGCAAAGCACTTAAATTTACTTTTTTTTTTAAATGTACCTATAACCAGTGCAGTATGTATGCATTCATTCATAGAAAAATTCATGTAATGTACCAGACATACATTGCTGTTTAAATATTTTCTCTAGCATTCATTACCTAAATAGAGTATAAGTATACCACTGAAAGGGATAAACGTGTGGAAAGGACACGTAGACTGCAGCAGCGGATCAACATGACGTGTCAGTCATCTAATCTGGTACTTCAACCAACAGCTCTAGTCACAGATAACATCAACCAGGAAGGTCAAACGTTTGTACTGATTAGGGATGCACCGATACTGGTATTTTGGTACAGAGTACGAGTACCTTATAATTTTTATATATGACGCAACGTCCTGCTTTCTGATTGGCCGGGAGGCCGGCTCAATGCCCCCTCGTCATGAGATGAAAAAAAGAGCATGAAGCCAGCTTCCCGGCCAATCAGAAAGCAGGGCGTCGCGTCATTACACGGCGCCCGGCCTCCTGATTCCGGAAGTACTCGTGTGCTAGGGATCGGAGCATTTGGGCGAGTACGTGTACCAAATACTCGGAAGCAGCACCGATATCGATACTAGTATTGGTATCGGTACATCCCTAGTACTGATTTCTGCTATTCTTCTATGAGATACGATTTGCCACTACCATTTATCTCAACAACTCACTCAGAAGATATGCTGTCAGTAGGGTGTCAGATCCTGACGTCACATCTGGCTACTGGCTAATATCTATAGCAACAAAATAGTAGCAGAGTGCCCTTTATTTCATTTCACGCCTATATCGAGTTCAATAATAGGTATTATATACTTATTTTATGTATACCTGTTGCAAAGGAGGCACCTAGAGTTTCTTGAGGGTACCTTTAAAGATGAGGGGTACACTGGCACCCCAATACCAGGGCCTGTCCAGTTCCAAAAGTCATCCTTAGCCTCCCTCCCATGCATTACTATATGTCAAAAAGTATGATGATGGACTCACTGATCAATTGTGAAGTCTAATAGTCAAGCTGTTTCAGATCTCTAATGATATGGTTGGTAACCAACTGTACACTGAAGTATTGTTAGGCATTTATCATATTTGAGTCAGCACATGTATGCTTTAATTTGAAGAAGAAGATGTTGGAAAGTGTGCAAACACAAAGATTGGTGTTAATTAAAAAGGCTCCATTGAAGTGACTTTTTTGCTGCAGCTAGTGAAATGAGGCCCTCAATGTTGATCAAAGATAACGGATTGCCTTCTGTTCTACTCCGTTTTATACCCAGTGTGTTCCCTGGAGGAACCCTACTATCAGCTCCAAACATGGTACTTTTCACCTTACAGCCACCACAACATACAGATTGTCATATACATGCCCACATCACTAGTGTAGCAGCAAGAACGTTTTTAAGAAAGGTGTTTGTGTCTTGTATGGTTTTTCAATAAATATATTTATTTTTTTTGAAGGTTGAAACAGGGCATCAGTGGTACCTTCAAGTGATCTATATTATTGGACCAGAGACAATGGCAGGTCCCAGAGTGCAGAGATCTCTAACCTACCAGCTGAGACGTGGACGCAGGGATCTAGTAGACAAGAATGGGCGGCTAACCTTAGATGACTCTTTGATCTATGACAATGAAGGAGATCAAGTTAAGAATGGCACAAACATGAAGACTTTGAATTTAGAAGTGGAAACGGCTGCTACAGCTGCATCACAAACAGGCGCATCTATTGGAAGTGCCTTCGCAGCCATTATGTTGTTGATGCTTGTTCTCTTGTCTGTCTGCCTCATAGCACAGAAATGCAGGAGGAATAGGAAAAAGAAGCCACCGAAGGATGCCACAGAGGAATATCCACTAAACACCAAAGTGGATGCTTCAAGGAAAAATATAGAGCGTGTAGAAAAGAACTTGAACAAACAGCACTGTACTGTCAGGAACATCAACCTTCTCAATGAAAGTAAAGATACCTACGAGGTCAAAGGGGTCAAGATCAAGCAGATGAACTTTGAAGTGAAAGTTCACAATAACTTACATGATGGGACAGAAGTTTGATGTTACATGAGCTAGCACAACAATATATTTTGATTAAAAAAAAAATCTGCTCTTTTATAAGGATTAAACAAGAGAATGGAGTACCAGTATTTTTCTATTCTTAGTGAAAAGGGAAAGTATAGCGTGATGAACGGATGTGCAGTATGTACCTTGACTCACAACTGAGCTACCTCGATAAGCCCACGGGTGTGTGAGATATCAGGGGCAGAACGTGACAAATGTTTTGTCCTTTTCCCCGAGTGATGCACTGCACATATAAAACACTGCCACCAAAGGTCAATCACATGTCATTGTATTCTACTTAATAGCTTTATCTGCACTGTATTCATTTTATAGCAAGCCATCCAACCACTGAACACATTATTTGATGTTTTTTGTTATGTCATTATTGTATACCGTTAAGGTCTTTGTCTCTAGGATGCAAATATTTTCCATATGCCATTTTTTAACTTTTTTTTTTTTTGATACTTCTAAATAATTCAACCGATCTTAACATGTGTTTTTATGAAGGTTCAGATAGAAAGACAAGACGTAAATATGTTTTAAGTTAACATGGTTTCCTTTCATTACCTACATTACAGAGTGGTGTGTATAGGGATCCCATAATGAGATGCTTACCGGTAATTTATTAAGTTTCCTGTAGAATCATATTTAGTGGTTAAGAAGACAATCCACAATTGGAATGATTAAAGTAACACAGAATATAATGTGGTTTAACCTTTCTAGGCTTTTTTAGACCAAGTAGTTCAATCTTAGGTGTATATCTGAGCAAAATAAAAAATCAATAGGTTTATCTCTGCAATATGTGCCGCATGTTTTGTCGTTTAAAAATGCAGCAAGTACAGAAAAATACCTATTGATCTGCCAGAAATCCAGTCAGCTGTTAATTTCCTATAGTGAACTGAGAACTCTGCTGCAGCAAAATCCTATGCAGTGTTGTCACTGAATTCTCTCCTGGCCTACAGAATACCCCCCTCTCCTGGTGTTATAGAGATGATGAGAAAAGGAGTTCTGTAGTGCAAAAGGGGATCACTCAGGCAGGACAACACTGCTTGGGATTTCAGTGCAGCAGAGGCACTGTGTTGTCATTACAGACAGGTAGAAGCTCACTGGATTTCTAGCAGATTAACATTTTCTCCGTACTTGCAGCTTTTTCAAACTGACAAAACATAGAAATATGCAGATATGTGCTGAATATATCTTTTTTTATTTTGCTAAGACACACAATTTATTGGTGACACAGTCACAACTTCTATAATATTGTAGCTACATTTATTTTTTTTCCATATATTTGATGCCCTTTATTTATTGTGTTTACTACTGAGCAAAGTTAGAGAGTGGTGGCAGGAAGGATTAGCCCACACGCTGGAAATGAGTTGCATTTGTGATATTCCAGTAGGAAGGAAGATAATACACAAACCTGTAAACCTCCATTACTGTTATTGTCATTTTATGCAAACTAATCTTATTTGTTTCTAATACACTGCACAACACTACACAAGTTAAACCAGTCTGCAGAAGCCCCATCAATGTGTAAAACCATTCATAATTAGTACTTTAAATAAGAAATGTTTTTTTTGGGGGGAAATATAATACTGCAGCAGTTTGTATTTAGACAGATATTAAGATTTCAAATGCTGTCTACGCCTGTCATTTTTATTTTACATCAACAGATTTTAATTTTTTTTAACACTGACAACTAATTAAATCTGAATTAGTCAGTAGAGAATGAAGCTCTTGCCAAACTCTATTAATTAAGCATATTATTACTCCTAGTGCTCAGAAGCATTGATAATTAGACCTTTTCTACATATCAGCTTAGCTCTTCAGTATATCTAAGATAGAAAGTCTATCATAGATTAGTAATGAGTAAGCAGGTTAGACTACATTGTCTATACACTCTCTAACACACATTTGTACAAAGAAATCAACTACTGTAAGTGTGCAACCAGTGCAGGTACTGAAGTGTAACTGGTGCATGTACCCTACTATACAGAGAACAGAAAGGGACATTTTTTTCTGGTGGGGAATGGAGGGGTTGTACACCCCTCAAAATGACTACTGAACCTTCATCTTACAAAACTGCTGAAGGAATTTAGAGGTAAAAATGATCTATTATCCTCATTGTAAGACTTTTACTTTGGTTAGCATTGGATTGCTGAACACTAAAGACTTCTGGAAGTGCATTGGAGTAAAATGGAGCCCTATACTACATTTGAATGTTTTTTTTTCTTGGTGAGAGGGTGATTGTTTATCTTACATTGGCCGGCAGCAGCCAGTAAAGGTTGTAGCACCCCGGTTATGTCAAGCACCAACTTGGCTTCACTTCCTAAAAACCCCTCCTAGTATATTACTATTATTCTCACTTCAAAAATGATTCAATATATTTTTATAGTCAAGAACACCGGTACAGGTTATTTTTGTACATGTTCTATGCAATATGTTGTTTGCCTTTAGACGGACACATAAACTTTCCAAGTTGGTAAGTTTATATATTTATTTCGACATGGAACGATAACTAGACTATATCGTATGGGTCGTCAAAGCAAGTGAATTCAAAAATGTATCAAATGAATAATTCATATCTGATAGTCTAGCATAGGAAACACCACTGTGTAATTGTGTGCTTTGTAAATGTATATAAACAAATCTCTAGATCTGATGAGAAAAGGACAAAGCCTAAGAGACAAAGGAAATAAGTGTGTACTAAAATTGTAGGAGGTCACAAAAAACAATGGATACAATTATCTGGACTTTCCAAGCTCCTCTAGGTTCATGTGACATGTTATTTATGGTCCAATAATAATACATTTCCCATTTATATGAATTGCAAAGCGTACTCAGAATCTATATCATGCATTAGAGCCAGTATTTTGTGTCACTTCACATAGTCTCACTTATTGCAATTCCAATCTTTTAAATGCCTTATGTAGAAAAACTGCAAACACAACCTGAAAGCATTATGTTGCCTTTTGTTTTTAGTCTAGAATGAACCCAGATCTTCTACCATGGATGTCATTCTGCCTTGAAATGTTGAGGAGGTTGCTTGGGACAGTTGTGTTGTAGGAATAAAAGATGCTGGAACATGATGTGAGTGTGCACAGAGCGATACGCTCAATAGGGGAGTGCCGAGCTCCTCTCACTCAGTCCTGTGTGCAAGACGGGTCTTTGTATGAGTTGACTCTATATCCCAGTTATGGTGCTGTAAGTGTAGGAATGCCAACTTACCTATTGTTTTTTATATATACATATATACTGTACCTGAAATATATGTGCCATGAAACATTTATATTAATAAACAGAATTTTGGTAATATTAAATAAATTCTCTGTAGTTTGTCATGTGTCAGAAGCGCAGTGGCTGTCACTTTTCTTGTACAAATCCTGCCAGTGTTACAATGATCACCCCTCCCAATAGTACTGCTACATGCACTTCTATCTTTAATCAGTTTGTGAGCAGAAAGGAGAAAATGTTTGTGCCACTTGCTAGTATTTACACTATCAGAGGAGAGGCTGCTATGGAATGATATTGTGCTGTGGTGAGAGAGAAGGAAAAAAAGAGAATGATGGCTGAAGGAGCATAAAGCCACCTACCAGACAATATAACACATTATCTGTAAGACATAAACATTGCCATGTGAGTAGTCCCTTGTTCCTAGTGTGTCCTGAATTAAAAAATAATGTCTAATGATGTTGTAATGAGTAAATTATATCATAAAATAGTGATTTACCTAATTCCAGTTAAACAGTGCACTGTTTAACTGGAAAATACTTTTCCATGAAGATACTGTATGTACACTGCCTGGCCCAAAAAAAAATGTCACACACTCGAATATTTGGTTGGACCGCCTTTGATTACGGCACGCACTCGCCTTGGCATTGCTTCGATAATCTTCTGCAATGTCACAAAATTAATTTCTGTCCAGGGTTGCATTCATTTTTCACCAAGATCTTATAGCGATGATGGGAGAGTGGGGCTAGTGTGTAAATGCTCCCCCAACCACTCTGTCACAATTTGAGCCCGATGAATCCTGATATTGTCATCTTGGAATATGCCCAATGTGCCATCAGGATCATTCAGTATATTCAGGTAGACAACTGAGCTCATTTTGCTAGATGCAACATATCAATCACTGCAGTAATCATCCAATGGAAGGCTTTTACTTATGTGCTTAGCTAAATCCAGGTGGTGAGTTTCTTTTTGGGTTTGTTTTGCCCAGGCAATGTATATGAACTTCATATGAGCCAGCATCTGTGCTACTTCCACCCAACATAGTATCCACTATACAACGCACATTTATTTCAATACCCTATGATCTGTAAATATACTAAGTACAGTATGTATACTAACATGTAAAAGAATGTGCCATGGATTTTTAGGCATATTCTTATGGAATAGTGACTTTAGTAAACAAAATACCTTATAGACATGGCAAATGGACACGTCCACCATATGTGACATACCGCCATTAGTGGAACAGCCTTGGAAACACACGGCTGATTAACTAGGATTCATGTGTGATATATACGAGTGAACCATATACCATCTCATCATTTACAGTTGGATTTCTTTAGAAAGCAGCCACAGCCCTAGTAGAAAAGCCTGTCCCCTGCCAGCATGCTGTACACAAGCTGTGGCAGCTCAATGTCACAGTTCAGCTGCAGCCTTGCAGCTGAGCTGTTACTTGTAGTTCTTCAAGTATATATATATACCTCTTACCCCCTGGTTCTGCAGGCATGTAGGTCTGTGCTGGTGCTTGTAGTCCTCCAGACATCCTCCAGTCCTGCTCTGAACCTGACTCACTCTTGCACCTGTCTGCAAGCTTTAGGTGTCGGCCGACCTCTCCTGCTGTTTCTTATGCAGCTTCTTGGCCAATCAGTGCAGTCTGCTTGTAGCCAATCCTGGGGATCCTCCCTCTTCCTGTCTCTATTTAAACCCAGGGCAGCGAACGGCACGCTGCCCGAGCAACGCTTTCCCCAAGCTAGTTGCCGCGTCCCCCATCTGTGATTTACCCTGAATTCCTGGAAGTTTTCCTGTGTACCGAACATTTGGCTTGTCCTTGGAAATCCCTGTCTACTGGCTGTCCCTAACCTTTGATTTGTACCCTGTACCTGTTAGGTGAGTTGGGTGGAAATAGGGATTGTGACCTGGGGTCAGCACGCAGCCAAGCCCATCTCCACCATCAGGAGCTCTGGCGAATACCGGCTGGCTCTTAGATTCCACATCCTGGGGGACCCCATGTCACCTACTCAGCATCCCATGCCACCTACTCCGCATTGCAGCACCCTGCCTTGTATTTGAACTTCCAGCTTTAGCTGACTTCATCTACCTCATTCAGTTCTCCTGTTCTGTTCCCTGCTTGTACTCCAGCTCTGGGAGTTGTCAGCCTTCACTGCTTGGACCCTTTTCTCTAAGTGTCCCTGCCAGTGTAGTGGAAAGGGTCCACATACCTGACTCCAGTTTATACCTG